TGCCTGCACACCTGTCCTCCAGTCCAGTCCCTCCTGCCTGCACATCTGCCCTGCACACCTGTCCTCCAGTCCAGTCCCTCCTGCCTGCACACCTGTCCCTCACTCCCTCCTGCCTGCACATCTGCCCTGCACACCTGTCCCCCAAGTCCAGTCCGTCCTGCCTGCACACCTGTCCCCCAGTCCCTCCTGCCTGCACACCTGTCCCCCAAGTCCAGTCCCTCCTGCATGCACACCTGTCCCCCAAGTCCAGTCCCTTCTCTCTGCACACCTGTCCCCCAGTCCAGTCCCTCCTGCCTACACATCTGTCCCTCACTTCCTCCTGCCTGCACACCTGTCCCTCACTCCCTCCTGCCTGCACACCTGTCCCCAGTCCCTCCTGCCTGCACACCTGTCCTCCAGTCCCTCCTGCTTGCACACCTGTCCCCCAAGTTCAGTCCCTTCTGCCTGCACACCTGCCCTGCACACCTGTCCTCCAGTCCCTCCTGCCTGCACACCTGTCCCCCAAGTCCAGTCCCTCCTGCCTGCACACCTGTCCCCAGTCCCTCCTGCCTGCACACCTGTCCTCCAGTCCCTCCTGCCCTGCACACCTGTCCCCCAGTCCCTCCTGCCTGCACACCTGTCCTCCAGGCCTAGTCCCTCCTGCCTGCACACCTGCCTTGCACACCTGTCCTCCAGTCCAGTCCCTCCTGCCTGCACACCTGTCCCCAGTCCAGTCCCTCTGTCCTGCACACCTGCCCTGCACACCTGTCCCCCAGTCCCTCCTGCCTACACATCTGTCCCCAGTCCAGTCCCTCTGTCCTGCACACCTGCCCTGCACACCTGTCCTCCAGTCCCTCCTGCCTGCACACCTGTCCCCAGTCCAGTCCCTCTGTCCTGCACACCTGTCCTCCAGTCCAGTCCCTCCTGTCTGCACACCTGTCCTCCAGTCCCTCCTGCCTGCACAACTGTCCCCAGTCCAGTCCCTCTGTCCTGCACACCTGCCCTGCACACCTGTCCTCCAGTCCAGTCCCTCCTGTCTGCACACCTGTCCCCTAGTCCCTCCTGTCTGCACACCTGTCCCCCAAGTCCAGTCCCTCCTGCCTGCACACCTGTCCCCCAGTCCCCCCTGCCTGCACACCTGTCCCCAGTCCCTCCTGCCTGCACACCTGCCCCCCAGTCCCCCCTGTCTGCACACCTGCCCTGTACACCTGTCCCTCAGTCCCTCCTGCCTGCACACCTGCCCTGCACACCTGTCCCCCAGTCCCTCCTGCCTGCACACCTGCCCAGCACACCTGTCCCCCAGGTCCAGTCCCTCCTGCCTGCACACCTGCCCAGCACACCTGTCCCCCAGTCCCTCCTGCCTGCACACCTGCCTTGGGGGAGCGGCCCTGCCCGGATGCCTGTCCACATTTATCCTGTATGACCACCGTACACAGCTGGTCCCTAACACCTTTCCCAAGTGATCAGCCCCACCCTGCCCTGTTTGCACACCTGCCTGCTATGACCTTTTCAGTCCTCTCTAATTGGCACACCTGTCTCCAGTCACTGCTCCATGCATCTGCCCTGCATAAGCAGCCCAGCCCCAGGTACCAGCTGTGGGACCTCCTACCCCACACACTTTCCCTGTGCATCTGACTGTGGTGACACAGGACGGTCAGACATGGTGGTGCCCTGGAGGGGCCCGAGGGTGGATGAGGGGTGTGGTCTGGTCACCCAGAATGCCTCCAGGGCCCAGGTGGGATCTGAGTTTGTGTTGTGGGGCAGTCTGGGGTTCCTGTGTCTGGTCATCCTCCTGGGAACATGCCATCTGGCTGGCTGTCACCCTGGAGGTGCTGTCCTCAGGGGGCACTGAGCAGATCTAGGTAGGTGGTGTCCCTCAACCCTGGCCTGGGATGGGCAGGGCTGATATAGGTTAGTGTTTTAGCTCCCCAGTGCTGGTTGCCAGCTGGTGATACACTGCCATCCCAAAGGCATACTGTTTGCCTCCTCCAGCTGCCCTGTGGGAGAGGATGGGCAGTCCCCTCCCATGTGATTAAACTCTGAAAACCCTCTGGAGGGTGGGTCAGCAATGGGTCAGTTCCGACTCAGCGGTACACCACAAAAGTGGTGCTGTGAGGAGAGCTCGGACGTATAGTGGGCAAGGTGCTGTACTGCCAACCTAAAGGCAGATGGTTCGGATACACCATGAAGAAAGACACTTTCCTCCTGTGCGGTTTGTTGCTTCTCACTGGAGGGTCAGCCATGAGTCAGTTCAAACTTGACAGTGAGGAACAACATTGTCGCAACAGCATTGCCACAGTAACTGATGTTGCCAAGTGATGGCGTTAGCAAGCAGAAATGTGTTCTCTTGTAGTTCAAATTCAGAACCTCAAATCCATTGCTGTGGAGTCAGACAGACTCAGAGCTGACGCTCCATTGGGTTGTAGAGGAGGTTGCCTGTCTTTCTCACAGCCACTGCAGGATTTGAACTTCCGAAGAGGAATGCCCTTGCGCTTGCTACACGGCCAGAGCTCTCTTATTTTGTTGTTGTCTGATGGGTGCCGTCAGGTAGGAACTCGATTCTCCAGGGGATTTGCTGAGGTAGTAAATCCCATAGGTGGAGACTGCGTATCCCATCTCCTGTGTAGCAGCTGGTGGATTCGAACCATGTGCTTTTGGGTTGACAGCGCAGCTCCTGACAGCCTTGAGTATGTTGTTGTGTACTGTTGAGTTGGAACCAACTCATAGCTGACTTTCCAGCAGGCTTTCAGGGGCAGGAAATCACGAGAGATTGCCCATCTTTCTCCTGTAGGGCAGCTGGTGGATTTGAACCACATACCTTTTGGTCCTTTTGGTTGATAGTATAGTTCTTTACCAGTAAGCCACAGAGAATAGGAAGCTGTTGTTGTGTACCATCGAGTTGAACTGACTCACAGCCTGCCTTCCCTGGGTATTCAGAGACGGTGACATGGGGAGAGTGCCCATCCTTCTGCCGGGCTGCTGCTGGATCAGTACTTCAGTCCTTGTGGGTACCCTTTTGGGATTGGAGTGTAGCTTCTTACCAGGATCCAAACTCTGGGAGAACGCTGTGTCTCTGTTGGTGGTGGAGGGAAATCCTGTTTTCTGCAGGCCTGGTGTTCCCTGGAGACCCCGCTGTGGTCTGGCCTTCCCCGAAGTCGCAACATCTCGTTGTGCAGGGACGGAGGTCCACTGTTGGTGGCACTGACACCCCGGGCTCCTTTCCCTCCCCTTTTCACCTTTGCTGAGATAACAAGTGTTACTGTTTACACTCCCTGTTCCCCTGGGTGCTTTGGACTGTGGGGGAGTAGGGGTGCTGCTCTTCACCCTCGATCTTTTCACCAGGTCATGGGGGTCTTTATGGAGCTTCCACGTGATGTCCTTGCACGCATGTGTTTTGAGGGGACATGGATTCAGCCTATGACAGTTAGCATGCTCACTGAGGCATTTCTCAGACTACGCTGCTAGGAGGAAGTAGTCTTTAACTTCTGGTGTCAGTAGCTGAGGGTGTTACCTTCTGACCGCACCCCTCCCCCCCCCTCCCCCCGGGATGGCTGAACCCGCTCCTCAGGTGGACAGACAGAACTGGACCGACCTTGCTTCTCCCCTCCTACCGCCACCCTGAGCAGGTGCTGGGCGAGGTGGGTCCCTGGCCCTGCAGCCAGTGGTTCCCACAGCAGGAGCTCTGGGGTATCAGCCTGGCAGGACTCCCTCCACTGGACAGCCTCGAGGGTGTACTCTGGGCTTGGGGTCCTTGTAGGCAAGGAGCCTTCTAGAATGTTGGTCCAGAGGCCAGAGGAAAGGCTTCCAAAGGGGAAGCATCAGGATGGGCCGTGCAGGTGAGCTCTTGTGTGCCAGAGTCCAGTGGTGTGGGACTCAACCGCTCCAGTTGGTGGGCCTGGGGGCCTGGTGGGCAGAGCCTGCCTCCCTGAGCACAGGTCCTGAGGTGTGGCCTGCGTACAAAGAGCTGGGGTCAGGGGCTCCGGGGCCTGGCTGGGCTCACCTGCTGAGCTGGCTGCATTCTTCTGCAGAGGTGACCACGGTGACAGTGGCCAATGTGGGCGCTTCCGCCGACAACGTCTTCACCACGTCGGTGGCGAACGCAGCCTCCATCTCAGGACACGTTCTGGTAAGATGCCCATGGCCGAGCCCCGTTGCCCCGTCCTGGCTTGGTGGCAGTCTCCTAGTACTGCTGCCATAGGAGGTGCAGTGCCACCTCCCGTTGGGAGGCAGGTGTGGCACAGGTGGCCCCTCACTCTGTGTGTGTGTGTGTTTGTGTGTGTGTTGAGAGGTGACCGGTCAGGCTGCGGGGTGATGTTTGGAACAGTGCTCTGTTCTGCTGGTGGGTGTGTGGTTGACTCTGCTTGTGAAGGTCAGGAGGGTAGGACAGGTCTGTAGGCAGCCCGAGAGCAGTGTGGACGGGTCACCCAGAGTCACCTGCCCAGCACAGGAAGAGCTTGGGCAGCGGCGCTGAGGACTCCAGTGGCTGCAGGTGTTCAGAACCTGCATGGCCTTGTGGGTGTGGCACGGCCTCCTGTGGTGGTCTTTCCTTCCTTCATGGGTGGCTGACAATGTCAGGCACCTTTCCATGTGCTGATGGCTGTGGCTGTGGACTCAGGTGTGCCCAGGACTGCGAGGATGGCTCAGGGTCAAACAGGGCTCAGATCTGTTGTTCTGAGGGTCACTGAGAGTCATACTTGATGGCACTGAACAACAGCCACCTGGGCCATGTGCACCTCTGCGAGGCGACTGTGGAACTGAGGGCATTGTGAGAATGAGAGTCTCTCTCTCCAGGGCTGTGTCTGTCTGGGCCCATGGGAAGGCGGTGTTTGAAGATGGAAGAAGGTCACCCTGTCCCTGGCCCAGGGTGGTTTGACCCTGTCAGTGGAGGCAGGAGAGAGCCCCAGAATGCTGCATTTGGACGTGGCCCAGAGGCCATCTGGTCCACCCCCTACCCTCATGTGAATGAGGTCCTGGAGCCTGAATGTTGTTTCCTGACTCCAGAGGCATCATGGGGAGGAGCGTGATGGGGAGAGAGTGTATTTGTTGTGTGTGTTGTGTGTGGTAGGGTGGGGTCGGGGGAGGGGCGTGATGGGGAGTGTGTGTATATATGTGGGCTAGGGTGGGGTTGGGGTCAGGGAGTGGGGTTTGGGGAGGGTGGTCACAGGGAGTGTAGGGTTGGGGTGGGGTATCGTAGGGAGTGTAGGGTGGGGTAGGGTGCAGTTGGGTGAGGCTGTTAGAGGGTGTGTGGGGTGGGGTGGTGGAGAGGCTTCCCTGGGTGGGAGGTGAGGAGCATGGGGAGAGGAGGGGGGACGGGGAACGAGGAGTGGGTCAGTGGGTTCTGTCTGGGTCACAGGGAAGTGCAAGACAAGCCCAGAGTCACAGCTGTTGCGGGGACCCCTGGCCACAAGTTGGCATGTGAGCACATGGAGGTTCATTTGTGGACATGTCGACGTGGGGACATGGAGGCTTTCCTAGGCTGGACAGTAGCACTGGTGGTCAAGCTGGTCAGGACACCCTCTGTGAGACCTGCAGCTTTGCAGGGCCACTTGGGGTGCAGGCCTGTCTTGGGGTCACGGCCAGTCTTGGAGCATGCTGCACAGGCCAGCTGACCGCGCGCTGTCACATGGTGTCCAGTTTTCAGTCTGGCTGGGCCGCCTCTTGATGATCAGGTCCCTGTACAGAGTCCGCCACTTTCTGCTGTGTTGACCCCAGTGTGTGGTCGCTGAGCTGCCTCTAAAGCTGTATTCTTCCCCTGCAGTCGGGCAGGACAGCCCTTCAGATTGGGGACAGTCTCAACACTGAGAAGGCCACTCTGATTGTCGTCCACACGGATGGGAGCATTGTGGAGACCACCGGGCTGAAGGGCGCTGCGGCCCCTCTCACCCCAGGTAGCAGATGGCATGCCTTCCTGAGGGTTTGTTTTGGGAGTTAGTTTTCAGGGTGGGGCGGAGGTTTGGAGTAGCAGCAGTTGTTAGTGGATTGAGGAGGAAGCTGGGGCTGTTGCTGGCCTCTGCTCTGGTGGTTCTCATTGCTCGCGTGCTTGGTCCAGGTCCTCAGTCCCCTCCAGCCCCATTGGCTCCTGGCCAAGAGAAAAGTGGGACCAAGTATAACTGGGACCCCTCGGTGTATGACAGCGAGCTCCCCGTGCGTTGCCGGAACATCAGTGGTACACTCTACAAGAGCAGGCTGGGCTCAGGTGAGGGCTGGGCTCAGGTGAGGGCTGGGCCCAGGTGAGGGCTGGGCCCAGGTGAGGGCTGGGCTCAGGTGAGGGCTGGGCCCAGGTGAGAGCTGGGCTGGGGGGTGGGGTATGCCTGGGGGAGGGGTGTCTTTAGGGGAAGGGGTCTCTGGTGAATCTGTGTGGCTTGGGTGAGCGATGTCCCTGGGTGAATGTGTCTCTGGGTGGGGGTGGGGTGTCTCTGGTGAAGGTGCATCTCTGGTGAAGCTGTGTGACTTGGGTGAGGGTATCACTCAGGTGGGCATGACTCAGGTGAAGGTGAGCCTGCAGGTGAGGGTCCAAGGCTCACTCCCTAGGTGGGATTCACCCTGTGTGTTGACTTGGTGGCTGGCCTTCTCGGTGGTCCTCTGCGGAAGCAGTGCCACATTCCAGGTGGGCTAGCACAAGTCTTTGAGCCTAGAAGTGAGGGTATGGAATGCCAGGCTGCTCTGAGGATGACCTAAGAATGAAGCAGCAGACATATGGTGCCTGGGGGGCCGGGAGGGCCAGCCCTGGCGCAGGGAGGATGAGGTTCTGGCCAGGAGCCCAGTCTGTCTGAGCAGGTGAGGGGCGTGAAGCCTGCTCTGGCCTCAGCACACGGGTCTCAGTGGGCACCATGGGGTCTCTCCACCCTATGCTGTTCCAGGCGGTCGAGGCCGCTGCATCAAGCAGGGGGAAAACTGGTATAGCCCGACGGAATTTGAAGCCATGGCAGGAAGAGCCAGCAGCAAGGACTGGAAAAGAAGCATCCGCTATGCAGGACGCCCGCTGCAGTGCCTCATCCAGGTGGGCCTAGGTGTCATGTGCTGAGTGCTGGAGCAGGCCCCGGGTCCACTGAGGCCAGCAGCCCATGGTGAAAGCAGACTGGAGCCCTGACAGAAGGTGCAGGGGCAGTGTGTCCCGAGGGAGGAGGGGCTCAGTGTAAAGGTCAAGGCTGAGTCCACTCCCCAACCTTTCTGCTCATTCTGACACCACCGTCCCTCTCAGAGGGCCCTGTCCCTTCCCTCCTACTCAGTGTCCACTGCACTGTCCACTCAGACTCATGACACACCATGGCTCGTTAGGGAAGAGGACACAGGTCAGAGTCAGGCATGGCTTTGGATCCAGTTTTTCTGTCAGGGAGCTGCGTCCACACACACATCTCTCCCTGGCCCTGGGTCCCTTGGTTCAGCCTTTATCCTGCTTGGCTAAGTGTCACAGAATTCTTTAGCTCCTCCAACAAGTGCCCAGAGCACCCTACTGCCAAGAAGCCCAATTCTGCTGACAGGTGCTGGAGACGCCCCACTGTACCCTCCCCAGAGTCACTGCTCAGGTGGCAGGAGGTACCCATTGTGCCAGACTCTTGTCCAGAGGTGTGCTATTTGCCCAGGAAGCTGCCTGTCTCCTGCCTCTGTTGCCCACCCTACAGCCATGACCCTGTCTCCAGCATTAGAGCTCTCTCTGTCCCAGGTCGGGGTGCATTCTGCTGTCATTTCTTCTTTACTGGCCCCCTTCCATCTCTGGGATGGCTCCCTTGAAGCTGGGCAGAATGGCAGGCTGTCCAAGGCTGTTGGGGAGCTCTGTACAGTTTGTTGCATTGTCCTGCCGGTCACTTGGTCACAGGACTGTCGTGGGAAAAGCCATGTCCCCCATGCTGCCCCAGTCCCAGCTGGTGTGAGCTCTGAGGGCACGTGTGGGAAGTGAGTGCAGTGTGAAGACACGGGCCAGACGGCATTGAGTCGGGTCGTCGCTGTGCTTCTGAGGGAGAGTGTGACGGTCCTGTTACCATCTCCAGTCTGCTTTCTGGTGCTGGTGAATTGGTACCCGTGGGTCTCTGAGTGTCCTGGGAAGGAAGCTCAGTGGGCTGTGCTCTCAGCAGCACTGGAGAACAGATGGGAGTGAGGGAGAGCCTTCTGGAAGGAGGCTTTATTTTCAGAATGTTGATCCTCACGAGTGGTGGATGGATGGGAGTAATCTGACTGAAAACCTGTACCCAGCAATGGTGATGAAGGCTTCTGATGGTGTGGCTTTGCAATTTCAGGACGGGATCCTGAATCCTCACGCTGCATCCTGCACCTGTGCGGCCTGCTGTGATGACATGACCTTAGTAAGTAGTCAGGAGGCTGCCTGGGCTGGGAGCTGGGCGTGGGGAAGGCCACAGGAGGGCCGGCCCTGCCTTCTGGTGTCCACTTCTCTCAGGCTGGCCTCCTTGGTCATCTGCTCTTTCCACTCACCAGTTAGCTCCTCTCTCAGTCAGATTTCTGCTTTCAGACTAGGACGTGACAGCTGGTGCTGCCCATGGGACCAGCTTGTCAGTGTTTGTGCAAAGCACGTCAAAGGACAAAGTTTACGGTCACAGAAAGCCCCTGTGGTATTGCCTTTAACCCCAAAACTAGATACTGACATTTGTTATCATCATTACAACAGAAATTTGCAATTTGAAGCAGTTTACCATAAAAATTCTACCCAAAACTCGCACATCGGCTGTCGTCCACTACTGTTCACTACCATTTGATTGAGTCCAGCCCAGCTCAGTGTGGCCCTCCCTCAGCTTCAGGCTGTCAGGCTTTGTGAGAGGGGACTGCCCGTCTTGGTCCCTCAAAGTCACTGGTAGATTCGAGCCGTTAACCTTTTGGTTATGAGCCCAGCATGTTAAATACTAGGTCACCCTGTAGAGAAGCGTTACTGTGCCTCCTGTAAAGTGGTGGCCGTGTCTTAGGAAGGTGTGCTGCACAAAGAGTGCTGCCCGTGTTCTCTTCCCATGAGTTCTCGGAAGTGGCATCTGCAAGTGGCAGCTTCTTTAACACACACTTAGTGCACGGAAGTCCGGCTGTTCCATTGTGTCTGGTAAAAGAGGGACAGAAGGAGGCACAGCAGCACCTTGTGTTCCTCCAGTGGCCGACGTCAACCTGAAGGGCTTAGGAGCCGCAATAAAGTTCCTTCTCAAATAGATGGACAGTCAGACCCAGCCGAGAAAGATCCAGTGGCACAGCGCTGGCCTCTCCTCTGCTGGATGTTTTGCCCCCAGTCACTGAGATTCATTGGGACACGTGTGACACATGCCAGCATGGAAACCTGAGTACCAGTGGGCAGGGACCAGAGCTATGTGAGTCCAGACCAGCACTGACCCTGATCAAATGTTCCTGTCACTCCAGAGGCCATGTTGTGTTCACACTTGAGGAAAAGCAGGACCAAGAGACGGAGGCGTCAGGAAAGCTCCAGAACTGTAGATACAGAGGAAATGACACGTACGCTTGAAGTGGTCTCTTCAGTGCAGGAGGCCATACTGGCTTTCTGTGCAAGAATTTCTCCTTAGCCTATGGACGCGAACTCATGTCACATTCCTATTGCAGCTGAGACCTTTTGGTCGAAACTCTTGGCTGGTAGAAGATGTGTGGTTTATGGCAGAGGTGTCCCCGCAGACGTAGATGGCTGGGCTCTCCGGCAGTTCCACTCAGCTCACGTCTGGTGCCACACAGTCCTAGAGAGAGGATCTCACTCTTACTTCCACCTGCCTGTGTTGTTTTTCCATCTCCAGAACTAGATGATAATGTGCTGTGTTCTGATTGTGTTCAGGGGAACAAGAAGATGTTAAAAAGATTACTAGCATTGGGGAAGGCCGATTAGCCTGATGTGGACACACTAACATCCTTCTTTTTGGAAGAGTAATGTCTTAGTAAACAACAAGTGTTGGAGAGCTGGAATTTAAACTGATATGCATCCCAGTAATTGCTTCTTCGAGCGAGCTGATGCCTCAGCTGTGGTGGGAGTGCCTGACGCAAGCTTGAGATCCGCCAGAAAGTGGTCACCGGTGCTTTTCTTCGCGAGTCAAGATAAAGAAGAGGCTTCTCCATCAGTTCCGCTAAAATGTTCTTCCTGTGATACGTTGTTCAAGTAGAGTTCTGCTACAGAAAAATATACTAGGAAATATTTTCACTATTAAAGAAAAGCCAGAAGAAGATGTTCTGCAATCCCAAAAGCACATAGTTCAAATCCTCCCACTGCTCTGTGAGAACTAGGTAGGTGGTCTTGTCTCCTCACATGTGATTTATTGGCTCTGAAAACCCCCTGGAGAGTCAGCAATGGGTCAGTTCTGACCTTATGCAAAACGAGTTTCTGTGTGCTTCAAAGGAAATAAAAGTTTTCTTATACATGAATATATGTTGCTTTATAGTTTTCAGCAGTGCTGCGTTGATTTTAATGTGTGACCGTAAGAGTCTCATTACACTTTCCTTTACTGTTGGCTACTACATAAGTATAGGACATTCTAGAAAATTTCAAAGGGCAGCTCAGGAAGACAAGGCAAGGTATTATAATGAAATGTGCAAAGAGCTAGAGTCGGAAAATCAAAAGGGCTGAACTCACTCAGCATTTCTTAAGCTAAAGGAATTGAAGAACAAATTCAAGCCAAGAGTGGCAATACTTAAAGATGCTTTGGGCAGAATGTTAAATTATCCAAGAAACATTAAAAGAAGATGGAAGAAGTATACAGAGTATGTACCAGAAGGAATTGGCTGACACAGAAGAATTTCATGAAATGACATATGAACAAGAGCCTGTGGTGATGAAGGAGGAAATTTAGGCTGCTCTGAAAGAATTGACAAAAATCAAGGCTCCAGGAGTTGACGGCACACCAATTGATATATTTCAACACACAGATGATGCCCTGGATGTGCTCACTAAGTTGTGCCAAGAAATCTAGAGGACAGCCACCTGGCCAACTGACTGGTAGGAATTGATATTTATTCCCATTCCAAAGAAAGGTGACCCACAGAGTGCAGACATTATCAAACAATATCATTAATATCACATGCAAGCAAGATTCTGCTGAAAATTACCCAAAAATGACTGGAACAAAACGTCAGTTGAGAACTGCCAGATGTGCAGGCTGGGTTTAGAAGAGGCCATGGTACGAGGGATATTATAGCTAATGTTAGATGGATCCTGGCAGAGAGTACCAGAAAAATGTCTGTCTGTGCTTCATTGACTATGCAAAGGTTTTTGACTATATGGATCACAACAAACTGTAGCAGACTGAGAAGAATGGGAATCCCAGAACATTTGATTGTGCTTATGAGAAGTCTATACTTGAACCAAGAGACAGTCATCAGAACAGAGGAAGGAGACACTGCATGGTTTAAAATGGGGAAGGGCGTCCTTCAGGAATGTATTTTTGTCTCCATACCTTTTCAATCTGTATGCAGAACAGATCATCCGGGACACTGGGCTATGTGAGGAAGAATCATCAGCAACCTGCATTATGCGGATGACACAACCCTGCTTGCTGAAACTGAGGAGGACCTGAAGAGCCTGCTGCCGAAGGTCAGGGACTTCAGCCTTCAATATGGATTGAAGCTCAACATCAAGAAAACAAAGATTCTCACCAATGGGCCAATTGGCAGCATCAGTATGGATGGTGAAGAGATTGGGATTATTCACAGCTTTAGTTTGCATGGTTCCACAGTCAGTAGCCAGGAAATTAAGAGATGAATTGCATTGGGAAAGTCAGCTGCCAGGGACCTCTCAAGAGTACTGAAGAGCAATGACATCAGTTGCTGGGGACAAAGTGTGACTGATCCGGGTCATAGTCTTTGCAGTTGCGTGCTGTGTATCAGAGAGCTAGACAATGACTAGGGATGGTAGAGAATTGATGCTTTTGAGCTGTGGTGCTGGAGAAGAGTGTTGAATATACCATGGACTGCTAGAACAGTCAGGTTCACCCCGGAGAGGGTGAAACTGAGCTGCTCCTTGGAGGCAAGGATACTGAAGCTTCGTCTGACATTCCTTGGGACCAATCCTTGGAGAGGGACATCATATTTGGGAGGGTGGAGGAACAGCGCAGGAAAGGAAGACCCTCGATGAGATGGATGGATTCAGTGATCAAAGGTAATGGGAGCAGGTGTGTCAGAGACAGGTTGGCACAGGATAGAGCAGAGTTTAGGGCTCTTGTACATAGGGTCACTGTGAGTTGTAAGCGACTTGACGGAACATAACAACAAGAACAACAACATAGTTAACTTAATGGATACATAATGAGATCTCTGTATTTTACTAATTGATTACTAGTTTGACTAATTATTAGAAGATCTGGTCTTTGCAGTTACTTACTATGCATCAGAGATCTGGTCAATGACTAAGGATGACAGAAGAATTGATGCCTTTGAGTTGTGGAGAAGATTCTTGAACATACTGTGGACGGCCAAGAAAACAAATAGGCCTGTCTTGGAGAGGGTGAAACCAAGTTTCTTCTTGGAGGCTAGGACTTTGAAGCTTTGTCTTATATACTTTGGGCACTTGGCCAAGAGAGACCAGTCCTTAGAGAAGGACATCATGCTTGTAAGGGTGGAGAGACAGCGCAGGAGAAGACGACCCCATATGATGGATTGATAAAATAAGTGGGGTTCTGGGAGTAGATGTGTTGGAGTCATTGAGGCTGGCTCAGGACAGGGCAGTGTCCTGAGCTGCTAAACATCTGGTCGCTATGAGTCACAGGTGACTCGATGGCACATAACAACAACACAGAACTAACGGGAAGGAAGGACGTACCATGTTCTCGGATGGAAAATCTTAGCAAAAATAAAAGAAAGCTGTGATGACATGAGAGCAGAATGGAAGATTCAGGACAGCTCATGAAGACAAAGTATTAAAATAGGTAAAGACCTGGAGTTAGAAAATTAAAACGCAGTATTCTCAGCATTTCTGAAGCTGAGAGTGATGAAGAAAACACCTCCAGTGGCCAGCTTCTCACATTTTTCCCTCCTGACCACTGTTCCTCACCTTGACCACACAGAGAGCTGAGTCAAACTTCCTCCCTGGCTCTCTGAGCTAGGCATTGGGCTCCAGCCATGGGCCCAGCTTCGGAATGAAGCTCCGTGCTTCCTACCCATGGCACCCTGCTCTCTGTCTCTCCCTAATGGCTCACAGTCCTCCTCTGAATCAGCCGTTATGAGGTATGTCTGTCTAGTGCCCTGTTTGTGAGTTCTCTGTCCTGGCTCCCAGAATCCACAGAAACAGACTTGTACTTGGTCACCCATGTATTAGAGTCAGACAGCATGCAAGCAAAGTCCCATTGTCCCCAGTGCTGCCTTCTCCCACTCTAGAAGCCTCAGGGAACATGCTCCTGGGTCCAGGATCCACACTGGACCAGCTGCACATAGCTCAGTGGACCTGTGTGACTAACTGTCCCTCCATCATCACAAGCAGGAGTGGGGTGCACCAGCTCATTTCCACAGGTTTAAGTATTGTCTAGTGGCACAGGGCATAAAGTAACTGGTTGAGCAGCTAAGCCAGGGGTCAGCTCTGTCAGAGACCTGACAGGCTCTCAACAGTAATCCTTTTTCCGCATCTCTTACAGGGACATAAACTCTCCTCCTGACTTTGACTTGAGTGGTGATTTTACTAGGTCCCATTACTTTACTTCTGCTTCATTTTTGCAGGCCCCATATTTATTAGACCTTTCCTTGAGTTGTGCCCCTCATTGAGGTGTGGAGATGGTGTATGTGTGGTGGTGGTCTAGGTGTGAAGCAGTGGACATATGGAGGATGTGTAGGTGTGGCAGTTGTGTAGTTGTGGAGGTGGTAGGTGTGGGGGATGTGGAGGTGTGGAGTTTGTGCTGGTTGTAGAGGTTATGGAGATAGAGGTTGTGCATGTTGAGGTGTGGAGGTAGTAGTGGTGTGGAGATAGGTTATGGAGATGTGGAGGTGAGGAGCTCTGGAGGTAAGGAGGTGGTGGAGGTGAGGTGAAGAGGTTGTAGAGTTGTGGAGGTGGTGGAGATGAGGAGGAGGTGTGGAAGTGAGGTGGTGGAAGTGAGGAGGTTGTGGAAGTGAGGAAGTTGTGGAGGTGAGGTTGTGGAGGTGAGGAAGTGTGGAGGTGTGGAGGTGAAGAGGTTGTAGAGGTGTGGAGGTGAGGAGTTGGTGGAGGTGAGGAGGGTGTGGAGGTGAGGAGGTGGTGGAGGTGAGGAGGGTATGGAGGTGAGGAGGTGTGGAGGTGAGGAGGGTATGGAGGTGAGGAGGTGTGGAGGTGAGGAGGTTATGGAGGTGAGGGTATGGAGGTGAGGTTGTGGAGGTGAGGAGAGTATGGAGGTGTGGACGTCAGGAGGGTGTGGAGGTGAGGAGTTGTGGAGGTGAGGAGGTTGTGGAGGTGAGGAGGTGTGGAAATTGTGGAGGTGAGGAGGTTGTAGAGGTGCGGAAGTGAAGAGGTGTGGAAATGAGGTGTGGAGGTTGTGGAGATGAGGTGTGGAGGTGAGGATGTTGTGGAAGTGAGGAGATGTGGAGGAGGTTGTGGAGGTGAGATGTGGAGGAGGTTGTGGAGGTAAGGAGGTTGTGGAGGTGAGGTGTGGAAGTTGAAGTGAGGAGGTGTGGAGGTGAGGAGGGTGTGGAGGTGAGGAGGTTGTGGAGCTGAGGAGGTGAGGAGGAGGTTGTGGAGCTGAGGGTATGGAGGTGAGGAGGTGTGGAGGTGAGAAGGGTGTGGAGGTGAGATGTGGAGGAGGTTGTGGAGGTGAGGTGTGGAAATTGTGGAGGTGAGGAGGGTGTGGAGGTGTGGAGCTGTGGATGTTGTTGATGTTGCGGAGGTGTGGAGGTAGCAGTGTGGCGGTGTGGAGGTGAGGAGGTGAGGTGAAGAGGTTGTAGAGGTGTGGAGGTGAGGAGGTTGTGAAGGTGTGGAGGTGAGGAGGTGAGGAGGTTGTGGAGGTCAGGAGGTGTGGAGGTGAGGAAGTTGAGGTGTGGAGGTGAGGAGGTTGTGGAGGTCAGGTGAGGAGGTTGTGGAGGTGAGGAGGGTATGGAGGTGAGGAGGTTGTGGAGGTGAGGAAGTTGGGGTGTGGAGGTGAGGAGTTTGTGGAGGTGAGGAAGTGGAGGTGAGGAGGTGTGGATGTTGTTGAGGTTGTGGAGGTGTGGAGGTAGCAGCAGTGTGGAGGTGAGGAGGTGTGGAGGTGAGGAGGTGTGGAGGTGAGGAGGCGTGGATGTTTTTGAGGTTGTGGAGGTCAGGAGGTGTGGTGGTCAGGAGGTGAGGTGTGGATGTTGAGGTTGTGGAGGTGTGGAGGTAGCAGTGTGGAGGTGAGGCGGTGTGGAGGTGAAGAGGTGTGGTGGTGAGGTGTGGCGGTGTGGAGGTGAGGAGGCGTGGATGTTGTTGAGGTGGAGGTGAGGAGGTAGCAGCAATGTGGAGGTGAGGAGGTCGTGCTGGCTTTGTTATGTGTGTTTTTGTCGCGCTGTGGTAGTTGTGTAAGTCTGTCTGGTTGGATACCAGCGCCTTGGTTGATTGTCCTTCACATGTCGGTGAGATGAGTCGTCCCAGTGTGTGTGTTCTGAGCTCATCCTCGTCCCTGTCTCTCTTGGGGGTGGAATACAGCACAGGATGGGCACTACCATCTGCGGGTGGTATCCTGGGCTCAGGTGCATTGAGGTCCTGGGCTTGTCCTTCTGACCGGCTTGCTCGTGCTGGGCAGTTATTCATATGCCGGCCTGGACTGGCCTTTGCTGCTGCTGAGGGCTGTCACTACAAGCTGGCTTCTTTGCTCTGCCACTTGGTCTCCCTCCTGGGCACTCCCAGGGTTCACGCTGTGGATGCCGTCCTTTTGTGCCCCTGGGGATGGTCTTTCCTGCTAGCTGGGGACTTGGGGCAGACAGCTGAGACAGGAGGGGGCGGGTAGGTGCTGCACACTGGGAGCCCGAGTCTGACTGGACTTTCTCCACAGAGCGGGCCAGTCAGACTCTTTGTCCCTTACAAACGACGCAAGAAGGAAAATGACGTGCCAACGACCCCTGTCAAGAAGGACTCTCCCAAAAACATCACGCTGCTCCCTGCTACAGCCGCCACCACCTGTGAGTAGGGGAACAGATCCTGCGTCCTGAGGCACAGGCACCTCCGTCCTGGGCTCTCCCTGCACCCAGCCACCCTGAATGGTGGACATGTCCCAGCCTCTGACAGCCTAGCTTGCGTCCCCAGTGTCCGGCCTCTGGGCTGGCCACCCCTGCCCTCACAGTGTGGTCAGTTCCCTGGGAGTTGCTGAGCATGGGGACACAGTGGGTCTCGCTGGCTTTCTCTGGGACAGTTGTTTCCGCTTGGACACCGTGTTTCTGTGGCTCATGAGTGTGCAGTCTGTGAACTGGACATGGCTCTGGGAGCCACGCCTGAAAGGATGCCAGTCTATGCCCATTGCCAGGTGTCCTCAGAAGCAACTGGGGATGCCCTGCTACTACAGCATAACCACGGATGGAGGACGTGGGGTGGCAGACACGTTGTGGCAGAGTATTCTAGAGACAGTCATTTTAGATGCCATGAGCGGGCTTTTGTGGCGAAGGTCTCCCTGACCTGACCTTAGCACAGCCGAGGCCACAGCTCACTGCTGGCCAGGGCTCGGGCTGAGAGACCCCATGGCAGGTCTGTTCCCCTGTATTATTCTAGGGGTGTAAGCCGCCACCTAGTGGGGTTCTCTGCCCCCGTCGGTCAGCTGGCTGCTTCCCCAAGCCTAGTCAGTCCCCACGTGTGGTGCCTGGGGTGTCCCACCCTGACTGCTGAGGTCCAGTGCAGGTGGTGCTGGCTATTTCCCCGAGCAGTCAGTCACCTGCACGTCAGTCCCCACATGTGGTGCCCGGGGTGTCCCACCCCAACTGCTGAGGTCCAGTGCAGGTGGTCACATATCCCCAGATGTCCCTTCACTGCCTCTGGTCTCATCCCCTGATGCCAGCCCTCTTGGTGAGCTTCACTCTGTTTTCCAGTCACCGTGACCCCTTCAGGACAGATCACTACCTCTGGTGCCCTGACCTTCGACCGAGCGTCCACTGTGGAGGCCACAGCCGTCATATCAGAAAGTCCAGCCCAGGGTGATGTCTTCACTGGAGCTACAGGCGAGTGGATGTCCCACACGAGGGTTTATGCTGGGGTATCATGTGTCCACCCCTCCCTCAGTGGACACAGGGATTCAGTGCTGACCCTGGCCTCTTGGAATGTGCCACCACCCTGGCGGGGTCCCCGAAATGCTACCTCTCCTGCATTTATCTTGAAGTCTGATCTGGGTGGAGAGTGTCCCTCCTTCAACCCCATCCAGACCCAGTCATGTCCACCTGCACGGTCCTGTGGGTGAAGGCTGGGCCCTGGACACAAACCCTGTGGTCAGCGTTGCTTCACCTGGACCAGAACGCTGGTCATGTGGCCATGGCAAGTCCTTCAGCAGCCTATGTCCAGCTGTGTCCATCACAGCTCACCGGTCCCATAGGGACCAGACTCATCGTTTCCAGAGCTTGCCGGCTGACTCCAGACCATGGCTCGTTGTCTGGACTCAGGAGCCTCTTCACGTCAAGTGAGAGGACAGACAGGACGAGTTCATCTTAGGAAGTGCGAGCCTTCCGTTTGCCCCGATAGGGTCTGACGATTCAGCCCCACAGGAGATAGCCTGCAGCCTTAGGCGGGGCACGAGCTGTCTTCTCCCCAACAGTGCAGGAAGCAGGCGTGCAGCCCCCGTGCAGGGTCAGCCACCCTGAGCCCCACTACCCCAGTTACCAGGACAGCTGTCAGATGACGCCCTTCCCGGAAGCTGCCCTGCCCACGTCCCACCCCAAGATAGGTGAGTGCAAAGCTGGCCACTCCTGGGATGAGGGTTTCAGAGTGAGTGGGGATGTGGACTCTTCCCCCGGATGTGCTGGGTAAATGGGTGTTGTTGTGTTGCTGTTATGTGCTGTCAAGTTGCCTTGTGCACCAGCCCTGAACCCTTCTCTGTCCTGGTGCCAACCTGTGTCTGACACACCTGCAGTGTTTACTGTTTACTTGTGCGCCGTCGGTGTGAGTAGATCATATGGCTGGCTGATTCAGGATGGCCAGTCCTAGTCCATCTCAGGTAGCATTCTTTATGCATTCCATAACATTTGACTCTTTACAGTTTTCTTAGGTTCATACTTTGTGCATTCTATGTTCTCAACATTATTGGGTGTTTGCCATCATTTTTCCTAATTTGGAGTCAGGTCAAATGAGCAAGTGAAGGTCCCCAAGCTACACTCCTCCCACCCGCTTACAGACCTTCCTGGGGGGTGGGGGGCTCAGACCTGTCCTGTGATCCTTCCCGGGGCCTGCCCTGCCAGCCTTCCTCAGCTCAGACCTGCCCTGTGGGCCTTCCTGGAGTGGGGGGATTGGACCTGCCCTGCAGCCCTTCCTCAGAGCTTGGCCTCCAGCTCCTCTGCTTGCCCCGCCCCGTGGAAGGCTGTGCTCATAGACAGCCAACCGGGTTCTGCCTACTTTTCGTCTGCAGACTTCTCAGGCCTGTCCACCAGGGGTGACCCTGCTGGCATCTGAAACGCTGATGGCTTTCAGCAGCACAGCAGCTTGCAAGCCACTGCTGTGTGACACACTTACAGAGTTCATTTGCATGAAGCCTTAGAACTCTCTTAGACTTAGAAATAAGTTGCAAATGTGGTCCTCGAAGTACTTGAGTATAAGTGGTAGTCCCTCCCTGATATCACGCCAACAGCCGCTGAGGTCAGAGTAACTCCTGCCAGTCTCTGGTCCTGTGTACAGGGGTGCCCAGTGGCCGGTCACCAGGAGGGAGTCAGAGTATGTCTGGGCGTGCCCAGTGGTCACCAAGGGGAAGGTTACAGTGTGCCTAGGCATGCCCAGTGGTCACCGAGGGGAGTCACAGTATGCCCGGACATGCCTGGTAGTCACCAAGGGGAGTCAAGAGTATGCTTGGGAGAGCCCAGTGGTCACCAGGGGGGAGTCAGTATGCCCAAGCGTGCCCAGTGGTCATGGGGTGGGGGGAGTCAGGGTGTGCCCGGTTGTGCCCAGTGGTCACCAGGGGTGATGTCATGGCATGATGCCCACCAGAGGGGTTTCCTCGTGTGCCTGGGTATACGCGTTGTCCTCTGACCCCGGAGGTGCTTGAGGGGGCCCCACAGAGGCCTGCACCTGCTGTTCACACCTGCACTTTGACCACCTGGTCCATCTCGGACTGAGGACCCTGTCAGCAGAGGATGTACTAACTCCTTTCACTTGCCTCCCACATTCTAGTGCTGACGTCACTGCCGGCCCTGGCGGTCCCGCCCTCCACGCCCACCAAAGCTGTGTCTCCCACCGTGGTCAGCGGGCTGGAGCTGTCGGAGCAGCGGAACTGGCTGTACCTGGAGGAGACGGTCAACTCCCTGCTCAGTACGGCCCAGCAGCTGAAGGCATTGCTGGAACAGGCCAAGCAGGCCAGCTCCTACCGGGAGGCTGCCGTGACCCACGCCAAGGTGCAGGCCGATGCTGAACGCAAAGAGGTGAGGCGTGTGGACACTGTCCTGGCCTGGCCGGTGGGGCAACAGCCATGTACTCACAGGGACCACTCCTGTGCTCAGGCACGCTGTTTTCAGTAAGGGACTGGTTTATCTCAGAGAGGAACATTCTCGGGCACCTAATGGTTCTTACTCCTGAGACTCGTGCCTGCTGTGGCCTTGTCTCCCGTTCCACACATGGTGAGCAGGGTACACTTTAGTGATGGAGCAAGAGACTTGGTGTGTCTGTGCATGCAGCCATGGAGGGAGCAGGTGAGCTGCCCCCATCTCTGTTTTAAAGTCTCTCTGAGTCTGTCCCCTTGTCACTGTAGCGTGGGATTCTGGGCTTTGGACTCGCTTCTGGAACATTCATTAGGCTGTGAACTGTGTGTCTTCACCATCTCTCAGTGCTGGGAGACAGCTTTTTCATGCAGCGTCTTGAAGTTGGCAGCATGAACAAAATCTGCCTGTACCCGTCTGCATTTCTAATGAACAGGTGCATTGCTTAGAGGTTACTTAGGGTGGAGACTGTCCAGGTAATAGCAGTGGCCGGGTCGGAGCAGTGTCAAGCCCCAGCCTTAACGACTAGACCAGAGAACGCTGCTTGCTACCGTACATTTGTGGCTGACGCCCAGCGCGGGAGACACTGTGTGTGACAGGGCATTGGACGCCAGCAGAGAGGCCCACCTGTGGCCAGGCAGAGATGGCACAGTGGCTGTGCATTTTTTAATACTTTTTAAGTTATGGCGCCTCTGACAGTGGCCTAGTGGCAAGAATGTGTGCAGCAGTCCCAATGGCACACAGTTTGAATTTACCAGACGCTCCTGTGCTACATTTTTAGTTAATGGTAAATGTGAGTTTTGATTTATAAATGAAAATAAGACTGTGTTTGGTTTTTTGGTTGGGTTCTTTTTTAAGTGTAATTTCCATTTTATTTTCAGGTGAGTTTTTTCTTCAGCCTTTTTAAGGAATCAAATCCTTACATGGGCTTTGGTGGTGGTCGTGGGGCAGCACCTGCAGGTCTAAATCCAGGTGGAGGTGTCCGGTCCTTTCGGGCTTCACGAGAACAGTTCCTCCCCACCTTACTGTGAATGGCACAGCTCACACAGTAGTGCAGTTTCACGTAGAGCTTTGGAAGCACATAGGCGTCGAAAACACTCGCTTCGGAAATGTCCCTGACGGCAGCTGCCTTTACTATATTTCGGATTACGAACTTTTTAAATGCCTTGTCTTTGGGCACACACCGGGTGCAGTTTGTGCAGCGAACAGGCTGCACGTGGCCACAGCCCTTTATGACCTTGTTCCTCCTTTTCTTCGTCATGTTGGAAGCGAGGGTCCAAGAGCAAGACTGTGTTTTTTATGACCTAATCTACATCAGAGATGAGTATTTTTCATTTATTTGTACTCTCTATAGACTAGGAGAAGGAAAGGTTTTTAAGTTATTAATTTTTTTTATAAAAATGCTTTTTAAATTAGTATTTTCCCCCCTTTTTAAAAAATTATTATTAATTTCAATGAAAATTTAGAGACTTTGGGTTTCCATTCATTCATTGTTGCACTTTTCTCCCCTCCCAACCCTCCCCACTAGTGCACTACCCTCTTGGAAAAGTAAAAGAAAAATTCTTTCATTGTTTTATACTCCCTCCCCCCAGATCCACTCCACTATGCAGCCTTCGCTTTGGACTCCTGTCTTGACAAAAATACGTAATCACATATCCCTTTTAAACAGTTTTCTTCCTCATCTGTTTCAATGCAGTGTACATTATTGAACCCATCTTTCTCAGTCTCCGCCCAAACCCGAGGTCAGTCCTGCTTTACAACAGTGGCACCATGCAGTATTTGTCCTTTTGTGACTGGGATATTTCACTCAGCATAATGTCCTCCAGGGTCACCCATTCTGAATAATATTGCATGAGTTCCTTGTTTTTTAATGCAGCGTAGTATTCCATTGTGTGAATATACCACAGCTTCTCTATCTATTCGTTTGTTGATGGGCTCTTGGGTTGTTTCCAACTCCTTGCTGTTGTGAACAAAGCTGCGATAAACATGGGTGTGCATATATCTGCTTGAATGTCAGTTATGGTCTCTTTGGGGTATATTCCCAGTAGTGGAATTGCTGGATCAAATAGTATCTCTATTTGCAACTTTTTGAGAAAGCATCATACCACCTTTCACAGTGGTTGCACCTAGGCTATTAATTTTTAAAATTATTTTTTAATACATTATTAGTTTGTTTCTTAGGAGAATGTTAAATTTAAAATACTTTTTAAAGATGTATAGTTTCAAAATAACGCATGCTAAGTGCTGTAATCTGTGAGAAACTGAAAAACCTCAGTCAGGACAGAACCAAACCAGACATGTGGTGGCTCTGCCCAGAGGTGGTAGCTGTGGCAGTGCACAGTACCCTGGCTTAAAGGCGAGTTTAGATTTGTATAGAGTGAAATTTTCTAGATCTAAATGTACAGTTCAGTGAGTTCTGATAAATGTGTATTCTTGTTGTTGGAGGCATTGAGTCGAGTACGACTCACAGAGACCCTGTGAACAAAAGATCTGAACCCTGTTCTGTCCTGTGCCATCCTCACACTTCCTGACACACAGGAGCCCATTGCAGCAGTCACCGTGTCAACCCACCTGGTCGAGGGTCTTCGTCTCTGTCGCTAACCCTCCCCTCTACCCTTCCCATCATCATGTCCTTCTCCAAGGAATAGCATCTCCTAGCAGTATGCCCAAAGTATGTAAGGTGAAGCCTCATCATTCTTACCTCCGAAGAGCACTCTGGCTGCACCCTCTCCAAGACATATCTGTTTGTTCTCCTGACCGCCCATAGGATGTTCGGTGCTCTTCTCCAACACCACAGCTCAAAGGTGTCAATTCTTTTTCTCTCATCCGTATTCACTGTCGAGCTCTCAGATACATAGCAAGTAATTGGAAAAACTCTGGCCTGAATCAGAAGTACCTTAATCTTCAAACTGACATCATTATTCCTCAGTAATTTGGAGAGGTCCCTAACTGCAGATTTTCCCAGTGCAGTACATCTCCTGATTTCCTGACTGTTGGAAACAAGGGTGCTAATTGTGGATCCAAGCAAGATGAAGCTGTTGACAGTTTCAATCTCCTCTCCATCCATCATGATGCTGCCTGTCGGTCCAGTGGTACCAAAGGCTGCAGTCCTTGGTCTTCTGCAGCATGTGCTTTAGGTCCTCCTCAGTTTCAGCAAGCAGGACTGTGTCATCTGCATAACGCAGGTTATTGATGAGTCTCCCTCCAATCTTGATACCACACTTCTCTTCATAGAGTCCAGCTTCTAGAATAATTGGCTCAGCATACAGATCGAGTAGGTATGGAGACAATAGGTACTAGTAGGTACTAGCCTGACACACTCCCGTATGAGGAGAGGAGATTTCTTTGAGGTGATTGAAAATACCTTAGCTTGGGTCAGGCATACTTTCATCCTCAAAGCTATAATTATTAAGTTATTATTGTCTATTTTGTGTCCGGAGGTAATTACCCCACATGTTACAAATCCTAACCAAAAATATAAATGGAGACTTTGTCCATACCTCTTCAGTCTGTGTGCTCAGCAGATAATTCATGAAGCTGCACTCTGAAGAGGAAAGTGGCATCAGGATTTGGGGAGGATTCACGAACCACCTGCATTATTCTGGTGATACAACTTTGCTTATTGAAATGGAGGAGGATATGAAATGACTGCTGCAGAAAATCAAGGACTACAGCCTTCGGTATGAGTTACATCTCAACATCAAGAAAAAGGTTCTCACCACAGGCCCAGCAGTCAAAATTATGATGGATGGAGAAAGGATTGAAGCTGTCAATGATTTCATCTTGTTTGGATCAAAACCCGGCACCCTTAGTACCAGCAGTCACGTGACCAGGAGATGTAGTGCCCTGGGCAAGGCTGCTGCCAGGGACCCCTCCAGAGTACTTAAAAGCGGTGGTGTCAGTTTGTAGACTTAAGATGCACATCATTCACGCCATGATCTTCTCAGTCACCTGCTGTTTATCAAAAACCTGGACAGTGAATTAGGACTTGAGAGAAAGCTTGGTGCCTTTGAGCTGTGTTGGAGAAGAGTGCTGAGTGTCCCGTGGACAGCTGAAAGAACAAACAGATAGAGCCTGAAAAAGGTGTGCTCAGATTGCTGCTTGAGGGCAAGAACGATGAAGCGTCATCTTTCGTTCTCTGGACGTGTAGCTAGGCGAGGATATACCTTGGAAAGGGACATCATATTTGGAAAGATAGAGGGTCAGGGAAAGACCCTCAATGAGATGGATTGACACCGTGACTTTAGCAGTGGCCTCTTGTGTCTCAGAGATGATGAGGACGGCACAGGACAAGGCAGGTTTCAGGTTGGCTGTTGTTCATAAGGTCGTCACAAGTCAGACTCGACTCCATGGCACCTAACCACAGCAGACATTTGAAGCTCAGCAACTGGAAAACACAAGAATCAAATGCACTACATCTGTGGGAAGCTAGGATGGAGTGGCTCAGAATTATCTGTCAGAAAGTCAGGGATCAGCTGTGGAAAACACCCAAACTTCACATGCACCACGAATTGTTCATATGTCATTTCAAGTTAAAGCTGAAGAAAATGCAAACAAGGATAATCCGGAGTACAGTCCACCTGAATTTAGAGAGTATCTCAAGAGCAGCTTTGCCCAGTTGAACACCAGTGACCAAGGGCCACACAAGTTGGGAGATGATGTTAATGACATTTTCCGGGAACAAAGGTCATTAAGAAGAGAAGAAGTGCCAGAATGGAAGTAGAACTGACTCTGAAACTTGCCCTTGAATGTGAAGTAGCCTCAGTGCAGACAATTTCCAGCATTCTGGCTGTATTTCCACCACGTCGCTGGGTGGGAACATCACTTGGAAGGGTTGGTTAGTTTTGCCTCCCACCAGGTTTGAATTGAACAAGTTGGGCAGCAGGAGCTGGGAATTATTGCTATGAATTAGGAAGGAAGGGAGAAGGCGTGTCCTTTAGGCCCGA